CGTTCTTATTATACATCCATATATATATATACAGCCGCCCGGTACTCAGTAGATGCGTCATGAGGTGCCGAACGGACATTCTCATCGCTCTAACCGCTGGAGTTTCACAGCGGCTGTCAGCTGTTTACTCCTGTCATTCAAACAGAACGTGCTGGAGAGGGGGCGGGGCTTATCTTCTCCATGTAAATACTGTGGTGGAAACGACTATGTCAAAATTAACCTATTTGACCGTGATTTAATAGTAATACACTTTCAAAATAATAATAATAATAATGCCGAAGTAACAACATACTGAAAACTGTTAGTAAAACCATGTTTTAATGCTTTACAATTTACATACCTAGATGCACGTGTGTTGTGTTTATGCAGTGCAACTCCCACCCAGTGGGTGGCTATGTAGAGTGATAGAACAGAGCAGGCACGCCCCCGAGAGAAGGAAAGCAAGTCACGTCACAAATTAGCATTTCTAAAATGTTAGCGTGGATTAATAAAAGTGCAAAAAGACAGCGGTTGTCGCCGGAAGAAACTTCAAATACAGAGAATGCTGTGCCTGTGTTGGAAATTGTGTCTGATGGGGAGCTTTCTTTGGTTGATCCTCCTGCTCCAAGTTCTAGTGCATTAGCACTAGCTCCGCCGCCTCCTCCAGAGCCTCTAACGTTAGCTGCTGCTGGCGCAACTGTCACCACCAACACCGGGCAAAGCGATGCACCTGACTGCTGGACAACGGACCAGGTGCAATATTTTTGCAAGACCAATGCATGGCTCCTTCTTAAAGATAAGAAGCTAGGATGTCGGATATGCAGAGATGTCAAATCTTTGGGAATACACACTGGACAAGGACTGAAACTGTCAACTGAATGGGGTGAGTGTGCAGTGTCTCATTTCGGTGTTGACAAGGGCAAACAACAAGCTAGCCTGAGAAAAAAAATCAAAGAACATAAAGAATCACAAGCCCATGTAAAAGCTGCTGACATCCTTACATCTGCTTCACGTGAAACTATTCAACATCAAGTGCAGTCTATGCATAAATCTGAATTAGACACCACTATCAGAGTTTTTCGAACGGCATATAAAATTGGCAAACATAGCCGGCCATTCACAGACATGCCAATTGATTTGAATGTACAGAAACTGAATGGGCTGAACGTGGGCAGGGTTTTGCACTCCAATAAAACCTGTGGCGAAATCATCGACCACATAGCTCATGAGCTGAAGAAAAAAATGGCAAAAGACATTACAGAAAAGCAAAGAAAACTCTGTGTTTTGGTCGATGAATCTACCACTATTAGTGGTAAAACGGTGCTTGTTGTGTGTCTACGCTCAGCATTAGCTGATGCTGAGCCCGAAACGTTTTTTTGGGAGCTGATCGAGTTGGATGGAACAACGGCTGATGACATCACAAAGGCGTTAATGGAGTGTCTTGGAAGAGATTTTAACGAGGACTTTTTAGGTCAGTGTTTCGTTTCTTTTGCATGTGATGGGGCTTCAGTCATGCTAGGGAAGAGAACAGGCGTTGCTACCCAGTTGTGTAGTAAATTCCCAAGCCTGTTTGTGTGGCACTGCTCCAATCATCGTCTAGAGCTGGCAGTTGGGGATGTGGTCAAGGAGGTCTCAGGGCTCAATCATTTCCAGATCTTTTTTGACAAACTCTATTCCTTGTTCCATGCCTCCCCCAAAAATCAGAGGCAGTTAGCGCAGTGTGCGCAAGCAGTCGGACAGCGTCTCCTGGTGATAGGGCGTGTTTTGTCCATCCGCTGGGTGGCTTCAAGTGAAAGGAGCGTCAGAGCAGTCTGGGAAAACTACCGAGTGCTTCATGATCACTTCACAAATGCTGCAAACGACACGAGCAGGGATTCCAGAGACAGAGCAAAGTACAAGGGCCTGGATGATGTGCTCACATCTGCAACGTTTGTCAGCAATCTGGGACTGATGTACGATGCGCTCAGAGCTCAGTGACCTCTCTCGGCAACTCCAAAAAAGAGAGATGACACTGCCTACAGCAGATAGGCTCTTAACTCGAGAAATACGAGTTTTTGAATCCATGGTCACCATGCCTGGCCCACACATGACTACAGTTCATACAGCTCTAGCTGAGAAGTCCTTCAAGGGTGTTGCCCTGCGTGAGAATGGCAGGCTTGTACAGATTCATGCAGGTCAGTTTTTCCGCAGTATGGTAGAGAATCTGAGACACAGAATGACTTCCACAACCTCCTCTCATGTCAGCACAAGAGAAATCCCATTACATGGCCGGGAGGCCCGGGACAATCAGCTAATCCAGGACATGAAAGTTATCCATCCTGGAAGTTGGCCTGAAGAGGAGTTAGACGTACAGTATGGGGACGTAGAGGTGCTACGTTTGTGCGAAGTGCTGAAAGTGGACAGAAGAGAGACTGTTCAGGGCTTTCGCGAATACAAGGAAACCAGGGAATCCCGTACACCTGCTGCCATGGAGCCTCTACTGAAAGCAGTCCGAACCATCGCTGTCTCCACTAGTGAGTGTGAGCGGGCATTCAGCTGCATGAACGATATCCTTACTGCAAAAAGGAATGCTCTCTCTGTCAGCCGACTGTCCAGCCTGGTTTTCATTAAATGTAATGGACCATCACTAGGACAGTTCAATCCGGAACAGTATGTGAGGTCCTGGCTGGCAAAGGGAAGGAGAAGTGCTGATGAAAGAGCCTGTCCAGCTCCAGCCCCTGATACTGATGTCCCCAAGGCCTTCTGGAGCCTTTTCTAACAATGTGAAGTATATTGCAAAGCAGCTCACCCAGTGAGAAGACTTTTGGCATAATGTGCCGATTTGTACAGATCCTGGAGATAGAAGGACTTCAGACCAACCAGGGAGTTATCTGATCAGCTTGGTGTTCAATGTAACTCTTTACCATGGCTCAGACTTTGTTACTCGCAGTTACAGTTTCTCATTTTAGATTGTGCAAATTTTGCATTTGTTTTTACATGTTCTTTGTTCATGCTCTTCATCATTTTTCTGAGTTGGAAAGTTAGATTGCATCATAGTTTACTTTATACATATTTGTATTATTCAGTGGTGAAGTATATTGCAAAGCAGCTCAGCCATGTGAGAAGACTTTTGGCACTTTTTCGTTTTTCGTTTTCTGAGTTGGAAAGTTAGATTGCATTCAAAATGTACAGAAATACTTAATTTTGTTAAAGCTTTTTATAAAAAATGCTTCTGACCAGAGCTTTGTTTCCTTGTCATTAATGTTGAACACCTCCAGAGGGGCTCTCACCTGAAAGGTCTCTGCTTCATGTGTCTTCAGCAGAAGATCTAGACTTTGATTGCTATATTTTCAGTTAATATTGACCTTACTGAGCTTTAGCCATATCCGCTGCCTATCATAAAAAATGTTAAGTACAGTGCACCTTTCTAAAATATACAGTAGTAAAGAGACAAACCCACCAGCATTATAGTAGCCAAATTCTTGTTTGTGGGCTGTATATATAAAATTGACTTGAAAAAGTTGCTGATTTTAGAGTACTGGCACCTTTTTCATTCCAATTCAAGCACTGCTTATACTATATTTATACTTTTGGATTGCACTGTTAACATTTGGAAATATATACAATCTCAGCCTGTGCTCCTGACATCGCGTTCACTCAGTCACGAACGCACACGGCACGCTTCACCTCGCTTCAACTCGTTTCACACACCTGAACACAAAATGCCGAAGACTTCAGCTGTGTGGGACCATTTTAAATTGGACGACGGTAAGAAGAAGGCAGTGTGCCAAATATGCTACAAGAAACTTATTATTAAACTTATTATACATCCATGCAAGAAACTGGCCTACCACGGTGGCACAACAACTCTGAAAAGTCACCGGATGCTGTAAGTAGCCTAGCTTAGTTTAGCTGTTGTCGATGAAGCTGCTTTATCCGCCGTTTAAACAGTAACGTTACACATGATAAAAACGTGCACTTACTTTGCTTAGAAAATCGTTGCAAGCAAGCAACCGAATTGTTTTTTTATATTAGTTTTTCAATTTTATCCGAATAGTGAAAATGGTATTTGGGACAGCCCTAATAAGCACAGGCGGAGCCCTCTACTGGACTCTATGGGTACTACCCTTAACCATGCTATGCGTGCATTCACATACTGAGTTGCATAAACGTACACACACACCCCATTGGTCATTGCCGTTCGGAGCAATTTAGCCTATGTAATCGATATGTTTACTCGAACCCCCAACCTTCCGATTGTTAGACGGACACACTACCTCACTGCCACATCTTGCCAATCTTTATGTTTTTAAACATCCTGTTGATGGCTGGCTACTTCTTCTATACATTTTTGTTTGTTTTTTGGTATGAGAATAAACATGCACAGTTAAAAATGAAGCATGCAGACACACACTGAGACACGCGCGCATTGTTTGTTTCCCGGGGAAAACCCTCACGAGAAACACCGGCTGTTGTTGTGCCTGCTGTGACGTCAAGTTACTCCGTTCGCCGCTTGTAATTATGCCGAAGCTTCAAAGTTGTATTTATCATCTGAATTTGTCGAAACAAGTTTAATATTCTGAAAGCCAAGACTTGTTTAATTGAAATCAGATGAAAACAAACTGTAACGGACCCTGCCGTGTTATCTATGATTACTATACTCTTACATTCATAATTTCAGCCGGAGGGAGGGGGGCGGCGCTGCGGAAGAGCAGATTGCGAGTGAGAGGTGTCTTCGTCCCTTTACAAGCTTCAAAAATGTATTTATCGTGTGATTTTGGAAATAAAAGTTTCATATTCTGAAAGCCAAGACTTTGTTTGTTTAAAATCAAACAAAACACCCGAACCCCGAAAAAATAGTTTTTTACGTAAATCCACGTTTATTTTGAAATGAGCCGTTGCTACTTCCGACTGATTTCGATAGAGCGGGTCACATATCTGATAGCTCAAAGTTCTTTAATGTCTGGATTGTCTTCCTCTTTGGCTACATGGGAATGTGTGAGGTTTACAGCAGGATCTTCATGTTAATGTGTGTTTTTCAGGAGCGTGATGGCATGCGGGCCATACTGGAGTCGTACGACAGCGAGCTGGCTCCCACTGAGTATACTCCTCAGCTGAACAGACGTCTCCGAGAGGCCGAGGACATCCTGCAGAAGACTCAGAGCCACAATGTAGAGATGGAGGTGCGTGTGTGCGCAGGCTTTTACACACACATACAAAAACACTCGCATTCATCATATCCTACTTAAGCTTCCATATAGCCAAGTTTATTGTCTTCAAAAACACATCTGAATACATTGCATTGATTTATACTCATCTAAGCTGCTGGTACATTTATTATCACACTGTTTGGTGACACTGCTCATAGCTTAAGGCAGTGGAAATGTGTGAGGCTCAGCTACTGCTTGTCTGCACGCTCAGTGCTCTTGCTTAGCGGACAATTTGACAGATATCTGCACTACAATCTGATACGACTAAACTTGTAGTACACAGGGGCCTTGTGAGCAACACTGGGAAGAAATATGAGAAGGCTAAAGTGCCGGGGTTTTAAAACGGAATGAAATAAACACTTTGGATAATATATGGTCGTCTTTGCCCTGCTTCACCTCGGTTTCTGGCAATGCTATATATCAGTTGGTACAGGAAGCCATTTTTATTTTTTTCTCTATTTTGTATTTAACGGTTTTCTCTTTGTCCTTCAATTCAGGCCCAGCTGACAAAAGCACAGGAAGAGACAGGGACCCTGAAACTGCAACTGCAAACGGTAAGTATTGTGAGCGCCAGGGGCTCAGTCTGTAGGTCAGGCCGATCAGAGCAAAAAAAAGTACTGGGTTTTGCTGAATTGTGAATTTGGCTTGGGAAGGTGCCTAACGGAGTGAAATGACCTGGAAGTACCTAAATGGCAGACATGATAAGAGCTGTTCAGATTCTCTAAGGTCTAGATCAGTGCTTCTCAAAGTGTGGTCCGCGGACCACTGGTGGCCCGTGAGCGCCCCCTAGTGGTCCGCGGACCACTGGTGGCCCGTGAGCGCCCCCTAGTGGTCCGTGAGTATATTGGTAACATTTCTTATTTGAAATAAATAAATAAATTTAAGTTTTCCGCACTCTCAAGGGAATATCTCCGCAATGGAGCGAGATTAAGTTTCACTTCAATTGCATGATATAGCCCAGCGCAACACCTTCATCAATCATTTTGCCACTTGTTTGTACCATTTTCAGGCGATTTGTAATTTGTTCTAGAAAAACAATGTGTTTTTTGATATTTGTGGAGTTAGGTGGTCCGTGAGTGTTTTTTTATTGGTTAAGTGGTCCTTGGTATGAAAAAGTTTGAGAAACACTGGTCTAGATCAGAGGTTCTCAATTGTTTTTCAGCCAAGGACCCCTTACAAGATAGAGAATACACCAAGGACCCCCTTTTTCAGAACGAACACACACACACACACACACACACACACACACACACACACACACACACCACACACACACACACACACACACACACACACACACACACACACACACACACACACACATATAAAGATAACACATCAAGTGTTTCACTCTTAGTTAAATGATTTATAAAAGTCTAATCACAAAATAAATGCAGGCTATAAACAATTGAACATATGCCTGCATTGCAACATATATCAAGTAAATTGCAAAACAACTGCAACTGCATTGCTACAATCCCAAACCACTACTTGTAATGGCAGCCATCTCTCACCTTGGACATGCTGCGTGATGTTAAAGCACTCCAATAGTGACAGAAACTCAGCGGCAAAGGTGCTGGATTCCACGTGGATGTTAAAATCACCTAGCAGTAGTGTGGATGGGGACATGGAGCAGATTGAGATGAGAAGCTCATCTCAGACATGAATGAGGTGGAAGGTTTGGGGGGGGGGGGCGGTAAATGAGGACGACCTGCTGCTTTGAGGGGGCAGCCACTGAGAAGGCAATGAACTAAGGTGAGATTGTATTCGTCACAAGCAGCTGTTTGACAGGGATAGCCTGTCCAGGAAGCGACTCAAGGACGGACAGCACTGAGGAGAGATGGTGGAAGTTGAAGAAGTTTGCCGCAGAGGAGCACCGGTGGTGGCCAGAGCAGGCTAGCCTGAGCAGGTATAACTAGGCTAGCTTCTGATCGCCGTCAGACTGGCTGGGTGGAGAGGACCGTTGTTGTGTCTTTTGTGGCAGAACAAAATCAAACAGCAGCTAAGCAGGTGATACAGTGAAGCAGGATCGGGACTCAAAACGGGAAAATGAGACGGAGAATCGGGCATGTCGTCAGATGGAGCCACTAACGTTAGCGATAGCGTTAGCCCTGAAGCAGGAGGAGGTGAGCAACATTAGCAGGTGTAGCAGGGTGGACAGGTCGGAAGCGGAGCATCCATAAAAAGTTGCGATCGGGTGTTACAAAAGTGTCCAGAACAGCGTGTGCAAGCCACTGAACGTATGGAAACTGAGGTAGAAACGTTGGTCCAAAACTCGGCAGATACATTTTCGGACAGAGAAGCGGCGAACAGACAACGCCAGCGTCCTCTCTCTCCAAAAGTGTTGCGTCACAACAACAAAAAATCGAATGAATCTGAAAACTTTTCACGGACCCCCGGGGGGTCGCGGACCCCACTTTGAGAACCACTGGTCTAGATGATAGGAATGGAGCTCCACTACTTCCTTTATATTCTCCTATATCAGGGGTTTTCAAAGTGTGGGAACGTGAGCCTTCCCTCAGAGAACATAAGAACAGCCGCGCCCCCCCCCCCAATTATTATTGCTATTATTATTGTTGTTGTTGCTATAATGCAGGGGTATTCAATTGCATTCAATTGCATTTCAAAGAGGTCCAGTAAGAGAAAATGTCATTAAATGCTCTGTTTTCACTGTCTACCTTCCGCCATTTGAAATGACTCCGACTGTTTCTCTCTTCTTGTCTCGTCTCTGTGTGTGTTTAAATCTACCGTGCTGACTCACTGACCGCACCGATTTGATTGGCTGAGTAGCGTCACCTCCTAAGTTAAAAGGTTTAAAAAAGTTATTGTTTAATATTTTACATTAAACAATAACTTTTTAAAACCTTTTTATCTTTATGTTTTAAACATTTAAAAAAAACATTTTTAACATCGAGGATAAATCCTTATATGCTCCCGGCAACACACTGAACGTCAACTATGCCTCCTCATTACACTCACCCCTACTTTAGTGGGAACAATGAGTCTGCGTCTTTGATGCGCACAGGCGGATGATGCGGGGATGCATTACATTACATTACATTGCATTTAGCTGACGCTTTTATCCAAAGCGACTTACAATAAGTGCATTCAACCAACAAGATACAAACTTGAAGAAAACAGAATCATATAAGTACATCAGGCTTCATAGAGCTAAAACATTTCAAGTGCTACTCAACTTAGATAAGCCAGTCCTTTATTAGTATATAAGTGCTTTGTTAGCAATTCTATCGCTCGAAGTGGAGTCGAAAGAGATGAGTTTTCAGTCTGCGCCGGAAGATGTGCAAGCTATCTGCCGTCCTGATGTCAATGGGGAGCTCAATCCACCATCTTGGAGCCAGGACAGCAAACCCACGTGTTTTTGCTGATGGGAACTTGGGTCCCCCTCGCAGTGCGGGTGCAATGTAGACAGGAATAAATGCAGATCATCCTCTGGCTGCAGCCTTGACCGGTACTTGCTTTTAATCAAAGTAAGTATTATTCAAATAAAAATAAAGGGCAGAGCCGGCGTTTCTGTGATTCTCCAGAACACACAGATGGCCAGTCCGCCCCTGCCAGGACCGGTCATTGAAAATCCTAGCTTAAAATAATCGTGGTCATACTTCCTCCGTTTTCTGCCAGACGCTGTCTCCTCTCTCACTTTAGGGTAACTTCACTAAAGATTTATCCATGTTGCCGCTCGCATAACGTTAGCTGAAGTTAACTAGTTAGATTTCACTGTTTCTCGTTATTTTTTTCTCACGCTGCGCCTCCCCTGAAGCTCTCTGGCGCCTTATCCTTTAGGAAAATAAAGGAAAATGCTATCAATATTCATAAAGCTGCATAAAACGGCACAATAAGAGCGCATGGGGCAAAGTATATCGGTGCCCGTATAGTAGTCCACTGCACGGATTTCTTTTTAATGAATTCTATCATCTTTCCATGTTTTTCCCTGGGGTTAAGGATCTAACTTTTTTTTTTACAATTTCGACTGCCGCAACCACAGTATGGACTGGTAGCTGTAGTGCAAGATTAACTCTTGGCCACTCGCTCCTATGCTTGTGTGTATTTGTACTTTGTGTATTACATTTACATATCTGTCAAATTGTCCGCTCAGCAAAAATACTGATCCTGCAGACAAGTAGCAGCTGAGCTCTCCATGAAACCCACTTTCACTGAAGTTACCAGTAGAGTTTTATTCTGGGACATACACTCAACACACATTGTTTTCATATATATATATATATTTTATATATTTGACACCAGTTAACTTATATCAATGCCCCTCCAGTAACTACAAAAGAAGACCATTTAAGATATTTTAAAGCTATCAAATCTTAATTAGGACTTCATGATCATTAATTGTCACCTCCGCCATTGGCGCTCAAATGATCTCAAGTACCTCTTTTGAGCCATTACCGTGATTCTTTAAGGGGGAACTTGGTCTTTCTGTTGCTCTAATGCTTCATTTTTTCCACTGTGCTCAAAAATCAAGTTGGGCTTATAGACCTTTTCAAAAGAAGAATGGGATTGTCTTTTTACCAGCTGAATTTGGCCCCAATGATATATGTTTGTTTTTCTTAATTGAGGGTTTTGAATATTACAGAAACGTTACCAAAAATGCTGATTGTTTTGAAATGATATAAAACCAAGATAAAGCGAGAGATGGCAGGTGTTACATGACTCTCTTACACACTCGGTGAATCTCTTTGTGTCTTTACTTGTTCAAGGATCTCCTTTCTTTTCATGGCCCTTTGTTGCAGAGGAGACATCGGCATAGCCATGGCAATGAGTATTGACGCGTGAAATCCACCTGTCTGGTACAGCAGTAATTACTTATCTGTCTTGGGAAGACTGGAAGTGGGGATGAGCTGAGAAACGGACAGATGCTCTCAGAAAAAGGGGAAATGGGTGTGCAGATGGAAATGAGGGGTAATTGCAGGGAGGACAGCGAGATTGTAGATCTAAATGGGTAGATAAAGGTTTGAAATCGGAGAAGACAGACAGACTAAAGACTAGAACATTGTGGAATGGAGTCAGTGGACTAATGGGGTGTAAAGGATATTTCTGTTTGTCTGGATGTCTCTCTTGAAAGATCTCAGTGGGAAAGAGTCCTTTAGGGTCTTCCTGCAGCCAAAAGCTTTCTGCCAGGCACACGGCCAGAGGTCCCTGATGCTGCTGCACCTGGCCCATTTTCTCCTCTGTTTGTCACAGGTGGAGCTGGAGCTGGAGTCCCTGAAGAAGCACCAGGCCTCTGCTGCGGACAGCAACACCTCGGGGACCAAAGAAGAGCTCAGCATACTCAGGTAGTTAACACATGCACACAAACTATTGCAAAAAACAAACAAACAACTTGCATATACATTAGGTGCTTTCACACCGGAGTACTTTTCCCAGTATAGTTCCGATAGTTCTTGAAATGTTGCGTTCACACCAAAAAAATCCGGAACTAGAAATTAGTTCATGAGAACCTTTTCAATCCCTTTTCAGTCCCTGCTACAGAGCAGGTACTTTCGTGGGAGAAAAAGGTTGGCTGGGCGGATTGCAAACCACGCCCCGTAAAACTTTTTGTTTTGTGAAGCCGCCATTGTATTTGCTGGCATTAGCATTATTAGCATTAGCCCCGCGCACCAACGGAGAGAGAATAATGTATGGCAACACAAACAAAAACATTGGAGATGAGGAGGTGTCGGCGTTCTGGCAATTTACTCGGAAGGCTTCAGTAGAAGCCAGTGCCCAACTCCGGGGACTTCCGGCCGGGGACTTTGGGCGGCAGTATACACCGTGAAGTTGTTTGCTGCCTGTCAGTAAACCCAAAGCAGAAGAAGAAGAAGTGACGTCAGAGGCTTCATTTGCCTAATCCTCCCTCAGGGATTTATCAACGCGATCTGTTCTTTAGTTCATGAGAACTAAAGAGTTCTGATGAACTAAGTACTGGGAACTAATACGGCAAAGTACTTGGTGTGAAAGCGCCTAATTACTACAAATGAAAACCAACAATTATTTTCATATAAATGAAAGCGGCCCTATAATGCTTTTTAGGTGTTAACTTTCCTGTAGTGTGTTATATAGGTTTTTGTGCATGCAAATGGTCCTCAAGGGCTAAAGTCCCCGTGTTCCCTCCAGAGGGAGTTTCTCTCCCACGCACGTCATTAGTGTATAAGAAGTTGATATTCCAAAACTGGAAAAATAAGGAAGCAACCATACTAGAAAATTGAATATGTTAATTAAATATGACAGGTATGCAATATAATGTAATAACAACCGTTTTTCATCAACTCATTTTAATAATTCTATATTTTTGTATTCTTTTGGAAGGTATGAAAATAATGTCACATATTGAAATATTGAGGGAATTCAAATCCTCACTTACTCAGAAAAAATGTAATTATATAAACGGTTGCAAAAACAACCAATTCACAACCTGAGACGGGAGATATTCACACATACACCAAAGGTGGATTAACTTGTCTGTGAGCAGAGCTATACCTCTAGGATTAGCATATTGAGTCTAAAATGTCGTTTTATTAATAAACAAGTCAGTTAAAGTGTGTGCATGCATTTTTCAGACAGAAAATTGAAGATTTAGAGTCGGAGCGGCAGCGTCTGGAGGAGCAGAACAACATTCTGGAGATGAGGCTGGAGAGACACATGCTACAGGTAGGCACACACAGTTCCCTGCAACACTGCTCTGTGATGGATTTACACGTCTGGCACAAAGAAACCAATTTAATAACCCCAAGGGGCAGCAGCCTAGCAGGTATGACACTGCAGATTGATTCACACAAACGCTCCCTATATCTGACCGTACAATTGGACCCAGGTGTGATTTCAGTGGGGTCCAATGGAAAAGTTGTGTAACCCGTGGCCGAATTTAAGTCCTCTATTGGTTGAAGGGATTAGAATGGACGGAGCGGCGGGGAGGGAGAGATACCGGTCGAAATAAATGTATTCCCTGGTGTGAGCTGGGAATGAGACTGGCTGAAATAAAATGAGTTCTGTTTGGGAGTCACCGAACATCCCACAAACACACATGCAGGGCTCTCGACTAACTTTTTTCACCATCCTCCCGGAACCGTCCCGAAATACAATCTAAGCCGTCCCGAAATTAATGTGGGCCATCCCGAATTTAAAATGTTAGTTTTTCTACATTATCATTAGTTAAAATCATTCACAGTGACCTTTAACATAAATAACACATCATACAAATCATTAGATGATAATTCATCAACCTTTTTATTTGAGTAAATCATTCAGTCACATAAACAAAGGCCAAATATATTTAAACAAACACACAAATGAGTAAATTACTCTAATATTGAATCCAATCAAGTCCCATCCAATTAACAAAACAATCCAACACTGTCCTGAAGACAGAACCCAGAAGACAGAACCCAGAGTAACCACTAACCAGGATGACAGTCTGTAACACAGTCAGGAGGCCTTTACAAACGGCCCCGCCCCCTCGCACACAGACGGGAGAGAGAGATCTCGTCTGGATTGGAAAGCTCGAAAATACATCGTAGAAGCATGTTGTAGTCTTATTGCATATTAGAAACGGAGTTGGCGAAACTAAAACTGCGATATAATGTGTATGTAGCAATAATACATATGACATATTTTTTAAATGTCTCCAGTACCGACAAAAAGTCTGATAACGTCGGAGCTTAACGTTACCACTGTCTTTAATAATTCCGGCCCGGGGCCCGTTTAATACCGGGGCTCGGTACCCATCCCTACATGGGGAGAGGACTAAATATGATGGAGGGTTCTCTTCTCAGCCTTATTACCCATAGGGGATGAAGAGGAGTAAGTAAATAAAGAGGCCGGCGCTCCAGGGTCTGGTTCTGCTGTGCATTTTTGTGATGTAACGGTAAAACATTTCAGAATTTTTCCACGGGATGCCATTGTACATCACTCAACCCGCGAAATACACACACTCAGTACATAGCTAGACCCGCAAATTTGCGGGCCAGGAATTTGCGGGCACAGACAGCTGTGTGGCTGGCTGATAGCCAGCGGGTGTGTGTGCGTGTGTGTGTATTTCGCGGGTTGCTAAATGTTTTGTGCCTGTGTGTTTATGTTGACAAGGAGGTTTAATAACTGCTACACAAAACGTGCAGTCGGTTTCATTTTCATCGCCGTTTGTAGTAGAGTTAGCAGGGTATTTTTATTTTAACTCTCGTCCCAAATTCGTCCCAAAATTATTTTTTATCCTCCCCGACACTATTTTTTTCGACGACGGGACGTCCTTAAGCTCGAGCCCTGCACACATGCACGACTGTGTGCATCTAATCCAGACACTTTCATCTTGCAAAGTTACTTAACTAACACCCCTCAGTTAGGTGTGTGTGTGTGCCCCCTCTCCCTCAGGTCCTCTCACTCCCCTGACTCATACTGTACCAAACTAACCAGGGCACTTTAATGAAACGTGTGTGGGCAAGCGTGTTGGTTCCATTTAGCCGTGGGGTAGATGAAATCCATGTGTTCTCAAGCATGACCACCACTTTTAAGGCAATTGACAACCGACTGCGGGTAGCTATGTGTGTGTATGTGTGCGCCCAGGTTTCAAGGTTGCACGGTCAATGGATCAGGTCAGTTCTTAAGAGTAATTTCTATGACTCCTCCATGTTCTGATGCACTCAAAGAGAGCTCTATATCAGTGGAGAGATGAGTGACTGAATAGAGAAGCATTTGAAAAGAGAAATAAATGGCTGAATGAAAAGGGGGCATGAAAGACGTGCAGAATTGAATGCTTGAATAAATTGACAATGGGATTTTAAAATTACATCAACCTTCACTTCAGACTAACCCATCATTTCTGTCCTGTCGTTATATTGACATCGTACAGACTAGTGTGACTGTCAACCCCTCAGATTACCGGTGTAATGATGAGACGGCTTTTCACGGACCCGTGCTCATTCAATCATCCCCCCCAGTAACCTGTCAGGAGGCCCATACATCTGTGTTATACGTACAGTGTATATATGTGATGTTCCAAGGGAATTTTAAAGAGCTATTTCTATTTTCATTCAACAAATGCATCTGATATCATCTGCATCATGCCATAACAAGTGCGCATTAGAGATATGACAGATTTTCCAGTCCACATGTTGCTTGTTTGCAATCATCTATTCCCACACATTTTATCATACTGTAACAAAACAAGGTAGGTTTATTTATATAGCACCTTTCAACACAAGGCAATTCAAAGTGCTTTACAAAAATGAAAAACTTTAAGAGCATTAAAGGTCCCATGTCATGCTTTTCCGGTTATTACCCGTCCCCTTGTGTTATGAAGGTTTTTATGCACGTAAACGGTCTGCAGAGTCACAAACCCTCAAAGTACACCCTGTAGCGAGTAAAACTCTAACACAGAAAAGTCTGTGCTGCCCCAGAACGCCTCGTTGGAGATTTCTCTTTTTTTCTTCCGGGGCCTACTGACGTAACGCTGTGGGGACACACACTCAGCCTTATCTTTTCTCAGCCGTGGAGCTCTGTACACACACACACACACACACACACACACACACACACACACACACACACACACACACACACACACACACACACACACACACACACACACACACACACACACACACACACACACACACACACACACACACACACACACACACACACACACACACACACACACACACACACGGAGCTCAGGCTGTGTGTGTGTGCTCAGGCTAAGCTCCGCGGTGTCTCGCTGTCTCGCAGACCCCACACAGCAACCAGAAAACAACACCAGTAATCCAGCTCACACTGTCGACTCCTCGAGCCTCAAAGGGCGGGGCAGCGAGCCCCGCAACGTCCCGCCGACACGGCACCCAGACCCCACGCAGCATTCTCATCTGTTTGTCATTACTGGTGTCATTTTCTGGTTGCTAACAAACGCCATTGTCACACATAAACACTGATGTTAAGCTGTAACGGTGGTGGACTAATCAGAACAGAGTGGGCGAGCTGACCAATCACAGCACAGCGGGCTCATAGGGAGGGAGGGGGCAGGAGCTCCAACAACCCGTGTAGAACAGAGCGTGAATACACATACTTTACAGAGATGCTGTGAGAAACCAATGTGAGTTTGGAACATTGAACAATGTAAATCTATTCTAGTAGACCTCAACAATGGAATTATGATCAGTAGAAATGGCCATGACATGGGACCTTTGAGACACAGTGCAGCGGAAACACATTATAAAATGGCATTTCAAACGAATCATTAAAAAGCAAAGAGAATAAAATAAACACAAAACAAGCTAATATAGAAACACAGGTATAAAATACATTGAAATGTTCCAGATTGTAAAATATGAATAGTTCAATTGAAAGCAGCGGCAAAGGGAAAGACTTAAGCCTGGATTTAAAAATAGTGAACAATAGTTTACAATCATAATCAACATATTTTACGACATAGCATTTCATCTTTGATGCATTAGTGGGTAATGGGTCCTCTCTTAATCATCTTCCCATATGTCAATTACTTTTCAACAGGAAAGATTACGATGAAATTGATACTGAAACTGACATTATATGGTATAGATCAGTGGTTCTTAACTGGTGGGTCGTATCTTCTCAATAAAATATCTTTGCTAATGTTTTTTCGAGTTTTCTGGCCTTTGATCAGAATCAAGATTGTCCCCACAGAGAATAACTTTGCGGTAGAACTATTCTTTATACATCCATGGTTACAACTTCAGATAGAAATGAACACATAATGAAATATGACCCCCAGTTTGATGATTGACAGGTCACAGAACAATGGGAGCTATCTACCCTTACCCACAATTTAAAGTAAGTCACACAGACTATCTCCTCTTTACTCTTCTCGCAAGATGTCAGAACAAAGTGAAAAACAAACAATGGCATAACATATTATTAATATGTCGGGTAGTAATAGATTTATTTATTTTCGTCTCAGAGTGTACCAGAATGCATAGTTTATGTTAGTATTTCTAAAAATCTCCTGGGGGAGAATCCCCCCAGACCCCCTGCTGGAGTTGGGTTTTCAGCATGCGTGCCTTTTTATACAGTTCAGCTTTGATTCCATCATCTCATTAAACCTTTTTTTTAAAGCATACTTTAGTTCTGTGAAGGGATATAAGGGATGTATGCACTGTACTTCACTTTTATTAATATTATATGATGAAAAGGGTATATATTACAGCACGATTTTTTGTTGAATAGATTTGAGTGCTTCAAAATGTTGGGTCGCGATGTATTGACCAAGTAAAAAGTGGGTCCCGAGGCCTGACCAGTTGAGAACCACTGGTATAGGTGATGCCATATGCTCAAGTGATTATGGTGATTGTGATCAAGGATAAAAAAGCTTCTTAAAAAATAATCTCTACTCCAAATGCTGATTAAATAATTAGCTCATACAGTAGACCTCTTAAGAGTGGTTCAATTAGTGTTATATCTGGATTAGTGATACAGCTACTGTAGTTTTAGCATTGTCCATATACAATTACCTCATCTTAATTTTCAAATGTAAAAAAATTGAAATAATATTAATACTATTTATTATTTGGGAATGTCTTTTTGAATTCACCTCATAATTAAAATAGTCATGTTTCTGACTTTATTGATGTTTTTTTTCAACTATGTTTTTGTATGCAGCTAGTTTCTTTGTTTCCTTCGTGGTTTCT